GTGGGAGAACTTGCACAATTGGTGGCTGACTAAATACTTTTTTGCCCCACTGTATCCTTCAGACACAACTTACATTAGCTGTCCAAATTGCTTATACATTCATGCACATACTATCCCAAAACAGTCTATCCCAGCAGAATTCAGTGCTGCTCAGAAAGGAAGTCCTGATACTTTTTGTTTCCCTCAAATAATCATCTTGAAATTGGAAGGGGGCATGGACAGGGAATCAAAGACTGCTGTAATAGCAGATAGTATGGAAGACATACCAGCAGGTAGGAGGAGCAGACGACTGCAGACATTGTTGCTGAAGTCATGGGTGCCTTTGAACATTAGCCATCTTTTGAGAAGGGCTGCTTGCCTTCTGAATTTTAAACCTGTTTGTAAGGCCTAAACTGGGCTTCTCTCTTTATTTCCCTTCCCTTTCAAACTAACTCTTCTCTTTACCTCATCTCCATACAGTTTTGTTCCTTTTTTTCCATCCATTCCCTTCCCAATACATCTAACCCTTCCCCTTATCCTATCTCTATCCTGTTGTTTTTCCTTATTTTTTGCCCCTGGGAAATGTATTTATGTTTTTAAGTGTATTATGTGTCTCTCCATGTGAGAATAGTCGGTGTATGAGGCTAATATATTCAGACAGAAGAATTACTTTTATTTTATAAGTGGGATAGCTTATTTTGCTTAATTTTAACAATGGTTACACACTATACACACATATAAAAATGTATCACGTACACTTTTTATTGGAAATGGAAATGTCCAGATTTGGTTTCAGACGGAATTGGCATACTTAGGTTAACAAGAGGTGGAAAGTGAGGATTGCTCAGGATCTTTGAATTTCATTTTTCTTTGTAGTTCAAGGTAGGTAGGGTTTCTCTTAAATTCAGATTTGTCCTCCTTTTTGGTCCTTCTTATTAATGCTATTAAGGAAGTATGGAATAGTCACGTCATATTCAGAAAGCAAGAATATAACTGGGAATATTAAAACTCAAGAAAACCAGCTGTGTTCTAAACAGGAATTGATGTTCTCTGGAAATAAGGTTTAGAATTAAATTAATAAATAAATCCAGATTCCAAGTTTGATGCACCAGCTACTTGGAAATGGTCAATGAGAGAGATTATTGTTTATAGACACAAAAGATTAAAGTAGAAGAAAGCATATGTGATAGAATCTTGCTTGCAGAATTTCATGTAAGTTGGGGCTAATGCCTGCTACCCTAACTCCCTGCCCTTTAACTGAATTGTTTATTACCTTACTTTTAAAATGATTATAACTTGGAGGAGGTTCCTGTTCTGTCTAAGGAAGAGATTCAAATTAATATAATTTCTATAGTGGTGAAATATTAATTTACAAATTCTTAATAGGATTGATTGGTAGTTTTGCAAAGTCTGATTCATATTCATATTCACTGAGAGCAAGACAGTTTCCTTTTGTTGCCAATTATATATCTAGCAAGACACAGTAGACAATCTGAGAATGCCTTTGGCTTACTAATACTAGAATTACATTTTTTTTTCTTTTTTGGGGGGAGTAGAAACAGAGAAGATAGGACTGGAAGCTGGAAATGGGTTGCCATCCTGGAAATTTAATGATCAGCTCTTTCCTTGTGATGTATGTGGAAAAGTGTTTGGCCGACAACAGACGTTGTCCCGACATCTCTCCCTGCACACAGGTAACACTTTGTTTTTAAAATAAGATAGGATAGAATTCACTCTTTTTTTCAGGGCAACAGAGCACAATTTTTTGAATGCAAGTAAGAGTGAATAGATCTGGAATCACTGCAGTAATCATAGGCAATTACTTAAAACCATCATTAAAATACATCTTTCTCCTCTTTCTGTGATTGTCTGGAACAGCCATGAAATAAGGATCAGTAACTGAAATCTTCTGAATCAAATCCATCTATGTAATAAAAACTGCCTGCCCCCACCCAGTTGCAAACCTAAAGGGAACATAGGTATAAAGAAAACCACATTTATAGAAGTGATCAGTTGTCTAGTAGTGGGGGATAAGATGCAGGGCTGTTCACTTTTAAGAAAACAGTTGATTAAGAACAGAAAGGCGAACCCTTTTCTGTAGTCACCTCAGATCTCTGGAACATACTCTATACTGAGTAAAGGGAATACATTTTAAAAAAAGATGTTTAAATTGACATTTAATCTTGATTACTATTTGATTTCTTTGTTAAAATATTTGGTTTTAACTCTGGTTTTAACTTTAATGTTAACTTTAATAACTTTGGTTTTTATTGTAAACCTCCAAGAGATTTCAGTAATCACAAATAAAGTTTAATAAATAAGTAAATAATAATAAAATCAAACTATCTCTAATATGAAACTAGTGCTGAAATCCTACCCCAAAGGCTGACTTTGTTCATTTCCTCCCACAAATGAATGGAATCTGGAATCCAGCTTCTGGTAGAAAATCTGGCCTGATTGCATTATTGTAATTAGTAGATGTACAATCAAAACTCATGTACACATCTGTATTAATACAGAAATGTGATTATAACAAATATAACTATACCAGATAACTAATCAACATTATATTTGCATATGAAAAAGAACTGGGAAATGTGTTAATCATATCCAATTAAACTATTAGACTTTTTTTGCACAAAAATATTATTTGTATATGATAAAACATCAAATGGAGATATAAGAATGAAGATTATGATCATTTTGTTTTGAACAGCTATGCTTCTTGAAGTATTCTGAAGGGTTTCTTCTACTTTCCCAGTCTGGTTCAATCTGATATACTGGATTTGGGTCATGCTGTCTTTGAATCCTAGGAATTGAGGTCCAGGACATTTGAATAGTTCCACACTGGAGGAAACTGTTCTAGATCATTGCTTTGCACTTATTGCTTTGGTAAAATTGATTCAGTGTTTTACCATGTCTGCACTCTTTTAAATTGCAGAAAGAAATAACCTTTTAGTACACCTACTGTATATTGTATTATTTTTTTAAAAAATCAAAGTAGCATACCCTTTTAAAATCAATCCACTGACCAGTGAAACCCAGGGAATTTCAGGTTAAATTTCTCTATTAATTGAAATCTTTACAACTCTCACAATATCTGGGCTTCAAAAAAATCTAGATGACCACAAGACAACAGCAGAATGTTTTTTTTTTTTAAAGCAACTACTTTTATTGGAGTTCCAAATATCCTGCAGTTGAGCCACTTCAGCTGCCAAAGGGCAGATACAGCATTGCACAGGTGCCAAATTAAGTGGTGCAAAAGACCTTTTTGTGAAAGTTCCCAGTGGGTTATTTTTGTTTTTTTTTTTAGAAATATGCCTCTGCATTCTGGTTGAGAGAATCACTTTCTTATAGATGAGAATTTGAGCAGGTATCACTTCTCTTCCTCTGTGCTCTCATTTTCCGGAAGGCTCACAGGGTGCAGCCGTTCTTCATTAAGATTGAAGTCCTAGGCACATACTTGTGACAAGAGAGGCATACAAGAAACTCGGCTCAGTTTTTTTTTTTTACATTTCTTTCCAGAAGAGAGAAAATACAAATGCCACTTGTGCCCATATGCTGCTAAGTGCCGTGCTAATCTGAACCAGCATCTGACTGTGCATTCTGTGAAGTTGGTGAGTACAGACACTGAGGACATTGTCAGCGCTGTCACTTCTGAAGGCAGTGATGGAAAGAAGCACCCTTATTACTACAGGTGAGGATCCCGCTGAAAACCAAGCTCAGAGCCCAGGTCCCAGTTTCCTTTTAGGCCTGTCGGATTATAAAAGTGTAACCACCATACTGTTTATATTTAAGGATAATCTGATGAGTTTATTATGGCTTGCAACAAGGTCCAAGTCAGAGCATTTACCATTTTACAATAGAACATCAGAGTTATGCACACCCCAAGAAATGAAGTAAGATGAAACTGTATTACTCTCTCCCTTGCTGTTGTATTGCAGATATTCCACTGCCGATTTGTACTTTCCAGTCTACCTCTGAAGCTCCTTTATGTCCATACATGCTAGGACAAACTTCATGTTTTTTATACTGTTCTAGAATAACAGGTTCAAAATGCCTTACTTGTTAACTTAAGAATTGGTCTAGCAGGAACTGAAGCCACTTTTGATATTAGTGGACTTTTGAACATCATAATTGTAGGTACTGGGTAAAATCTTGGCTTTTGATCTTCTAAAAATCCTTTGACATGTGAATTAAACGAAGATATGATGAGCTATACGTTTCCAGTTGTCTATAATGTGCTACAGTACTTGCTCCTGAATAACTGCATTGTTTCATTTGTCTGCTTCCCCCTTACATAAAGGTCTTGCATGAACATGGTGCCATGGTTTGCACTTGGAATGCAAACTGTGGGTAGCTTGGGATCCAAACCATGGGTAGTACCTTGCTACAAAGCCCCAGCACCACAAACCCAGTATTGCAAGTAGTAGCATGATGAAATAAATGGATCCATATAGTAAGCAACTGCAGCAAAAATGTATGCAATTTCAAGTGGCCATCTCTGGACTAGTTGAGTGAATTGGACATTGGGTATCTGGTCTGTTAACATTCAAACAATTGCAGGACACGCTGTAAAGTGTACTAGCTATAGAAATAATTCATTTATATGTTAGTAAGTACATGCATGCTATCTTTTGAATCAAAATCAAGGCACCACACACCAGTTAAATTGAACCATATAATTAGAACTTAAAATATAATGAAACAGTAAAAGCTAGCAGCAAACAAACAGAATTAAAAGAGATTAAAGTGTTCTTAGCCTAAGGAAAGCCTTATATTCACTATTCAATTAAAAATGGATAGAGATGGATCTTTCTGTAAAGCGTTTCATACTCTAGTCATCCAAATCAAAATAGTCTGGTGCAGTGCTTAAAACACAGATCCAGGTCTAGTCCACCCTCAATCATAGAAACTTATTGGATGATTTTGGAGTAGACACTGCCTCTAGAATACTATGTGCTCCTAGAGGAAAGGCAGGAAATAAATCTAACAAATAAAATTTATTTTCCCTAGTCCCATGAGAGACAATGTTCTTGAGATGACCCCTGAAATTCCTTGGTCCAAGACCATTTAGGCCTGCCATTTTCAGCTTTCATCCAACAGACATGCTGAATCACAATTCCTGTTCTCTATAACCAGCATGAAAATGGGGCTACTGAGGGTTGTGGTCCATTGAGGTGGAGTGCCAAATCAGGGATATGGCTTTAAAGGCCAAATCAGTGCTACAAGATAAGGACTTGATTGCAAAATGTCCCTCAGTGCCATTTCTATTTGTGTATCTGATTATGCTTTTGCCTAGTCAGGCAGAAAAAAACCCTGAGCCTATTTTGGCTTGCTTGTGTTAAGAATGCCAGATGTTTCTGCACTAGATCCCAAGCTGACACTGGGTATTTCCAAAACTTGGGAATTGCCGTGAAGAGCATAGTGAGCTCCCCATTTGTCCACATAGCAGGCTGACTGAACATCTTGGCAAAGCTGCAGCACATCTTATTGCCCAAAGGAAATAGCTAGGTGATGTGCAGCATCTGGAACCTGTAGTTGTTAATTAACTTTATGATTATTTAGCATCATTATAGCATGTTTGGGATTGTTGCCTTGTGCCTGCCCTTAATCAGCTTGGCAAGGCTGTCAGTTCAGAAGCAGTTCAACAGACAAAAGAATATCCCAGTGCAATTTTAGCTGAACAGTTTGTAAAATCAGGAGCTGGTCAGGTTGAATTAAAAAAAAAAAAAAGCAATGTTCATCTGTATCACAGAGGATCCATAAAAGCACATTCTTTAATATTTCTAACTTTCTCCTGCCTCCAGTTGTCATGTGTGTGGATTTGAAACCGAGATGAATGTCCAGTTTGTCAGTCATATGTCGCTTCATGTGGATAAAGAACAATGGATGTTTTCTATTTGCTGCACAGCCTGTGATTTTGTTACCATGGAAGAGGCGGAGATGAAGGCTCATGTTGCCACCAAGCATGCAGGTGATAACCTCTCTCTGTGCCAAGGTTTGTCTCCTCCTGCTGCTTCTCTCCCACTAATCTACATCAGGGTTGAGCAATATCATACCAATTTGGTCCTGCCATTGCAAAATTCTGCTAGCCAAAACCTGAAGTGGGTGATTATGGCCAAATGGATTTTATATTCTGACCTGTTTTGTCATGTGCAAAAATGACATTGTGCATTATTTGGATTCCTTTCAGCTGCTCTGTGAAGAGTTTTTGAGTGCTAATTGCTTCCATTAGATATGAAAATACAAGAATTCACTGAGCAGCTCTTCACACTTGTCTATGTGTGACTGCATTTGCAAATGCTTTGTAACATGGAATGTAGAATCTGCTCAGAAATTCTTTGCAAGCACAAGTAGTAATCTTCTATACTTGTGTAGGCATGACTTCATGAGCTTTGTGCACCAACTTAAATAAAAATACTAAAAATAGCATAATGAGCTACTTATGACATACATGTCATGTCAGCATCTGGATAATCTGTTGTGTTAGTTTCCAGTCATTTTCTCATTTTTCCAACCATAACTTTGTCTGACCCTTTCCTGCATCAATGTCTATTTTTGTTTTATTTGTTTAAAAGTTACACACATGAAAAAATCTATATGCATATTTGTGTATATTTCCCCTAATGTACACATGTTTACAGTTTTCCTAATATACATGCATTTTTGCAAGCAGTTTTGTTCTAATATATACATACTTGTGCTTCTTTCCTAATATACATTTCGCAGGGAGTTTTAAAGTTAAGAACTGCATAGCCAGATTTGGAAAAGTACATATATTGGTATATAACCAACTATTGGCATTTAGATTTGTGTCTACGTTTTGAACTGTGAGCTGCACAAATCTGTATTAAAATGCAAACCAAAATAAGTCTATTTGCTAGACCAATACTTGCTTCTCTTCTTCTCAACTACGTTATCTGCAGAAAAGTGCATTGTACTGGACATGGATGCTAGAAAAATCGTGAAAGAAAACTATTCCCTGTCAGTGTCCCTTTTCTTCTTTCTTTTTGCTAAATGAGGACTCTTATTTGCTTAAAATAGAACTCCTTTTTAAGGACACTATCCTTCCCTTTGCTTTACTCCCCAGATAGTTTGGAGTTCTAATTCAGAGTGGAAATAGAAGACCCGTCTAATATTACTGAATAAAGGCTTTTAAGCGTTTTCGGTGTTCGTGAAAAAGGATTTTGCCTGGAACAAACCACTTTGGTTAGGATGTTAACAGGTTCTTCAACTTAATCGTCCATTGATTTTCATTTTGCCTAAGGAATAATGTAATATAATTTGTCCAGTTATAATTATTTGAAAAATTGAATATAATTAGAACCCCAACATTGCTTTAACACTCCGATCCACAGGAGTTCCTGTGGAAGATTCCTACAAAAGTTAGTCATACTGGACTTTCCTTGATAAAAGAAAAATATAAGTATTTCAACCTTACTTGGAACCTCAAGTTTGCATAAGGCAGAATAGAAGGGAACAATCTGTTTTGTAAGAGTCTTTTCTGGATTGAGGAACAGGCAGATAAAGGAAATAAGTGAATACAGCAGTCCCAATCTTGTCAGAGCACCAGAACACAGAAATACCACGTTTTAGATGTGCTCTTCCCAAAGATCCTTCGAAAGTTGCCATGAAATTGTAATGCTTAATATGACAGGATTGGAAAAGTCTTAAGCACATATGGAATAATAAACTTAAATGTATTTAAATAGTTCAGCTGTAATTACAATCAAATGTATGTTAAATTAGATTTAGTTTTGCCAAGGCCCTGCCAACTTCTGTGTTCTGGCCTTCATCAGTTTTGGGAGGGCAGTCTTTGACATGTCACTCAAAGGCCACAGCCTTACTGTTTTAAAATAACTAAATTGGTGCAAGTGGTACAAAAATATCATACACAGCTAACTGTATTTTAAAACTCATAGATGTAGAAATTCTACTAGGTGGAATAGGTGGAGTTGTTCAGCCAGTAACAACTTCTAGTCATTCCCACTAATGTTCCCAAATATAAAGCTGTCTATCCACCACTGATTCCTCTTAAATGGTCTGGACACAATCTTCTACCAAAAGGCATATTTAAGAAATTACTGTAGACCCAGTAACTCCAGAATGAAGAAGGAAAGGCAGCACTTCGATTACAAACACAAGCTAGAAGCCTAACTTCACATATTAATAACTCTAGAGATGATAGAAACACTGAGATAAAAGTGTTTCCCACCCCACTACCCTTTTTATTCTCTAACTCATCAGAAACAATTTCAAGCTGGCTATCGGTCATCGTCCCACAGAGAATAACACACAAGGTTATCAATTCACCCTTGTTTTGTAGAGCCTACAAAGTAAGATTCAGCAGGCAAAAACAGTATACATTTGGGTTTTAAATCTAGAATTAGATATATATTGCATGCAAAAAGCAGCAGTGTTCAGTTTGATTTTGAAGATAGCAGTGAAGACAAAGAGTTTCATGGTTTCCAAGATAGCAGTGATTCTGATTAAAATTTTGTAAAAACTTCATTTTTTCATTCAAAGAGGTGCTTTTTCTTTCGTGTTATGTATTTACCTTATAAGTGGTATAAATATTG